CAAAACACTGGTTATAAGGATGCTCAATTAACGTAGGGGAAGTATAGATGAACTCAGTAAGAACTTCAACAAAGAGAAGAACCAGTCAGAAATGAAGACTTCATTAACTAAAATGAGAATATATGGGAGGGAATCAACAGCAGATTAGATGAAGCACAGGACTGAATCACCATTCTGTAACATGGAAGCAGAAAACACCCAATCAAAACAGCAAAAAGAAAAAATAATCGAAAAAAATGAGGACAGTTTGAGGAACCTCTGGGACAACATCAAGTGTACCAACATTTGCATTACAGGGGTAACCAGAAGGAAAAGAGAGACAGAGAGCAAGGGATTGAAACCTATTTAAAGAAGTAATGATCAACACTTCCCTAACCTGGCTAAGAAAACAGACATAAAACTCCAAGAACTTCTGAGAGTCTGAAACAAGATGGGCCCAAAAAGGCCCATGTGAAACATGTAAGTAAAATGCCAAAGTGAGATTAAAAGTAGCAAAAAAAGAGCAGTTAGTTATATACATGGGAGCTCCCATAAGACTATAAGCAAATTTTTCAACAGGAACTTTGTTCCCATACCTTCTGATCTTCAATCAAGATGACTCTATCCAGCAAGGTTATGATTTAGAATAGAATGGAAGATAGTTTCCCAGACAAGAAAAAGATAAAGGAGATCATTATCACTAAAGCAGTATTATAAGAAATGTTAATGAAACTTCTTTAAGTAGAAATGAAAGATAAAAAATATAAGAAAGTATAGAAAAGAAAAAAATTCTCACTGACAAACACTTAGTAAGCAGCAGATTAACCAACTATAAAGCTAGTACAAAGGTTAAGAGGCAAAGTAGGGAGATCATGTGTAATTACAATAATAAATTAAGGAACATGCACAAAAAGTAGTACAAAAATAATGACAAACACACAAATGTGAAGGAGGTGAGTAAAATATGTAGTAATTTTAGAATGTGTTGGAACTTAAGCAATCATCAACTTAAAATAGACTGATACAAACATAGCTTGGTATATATGACACACATGGTAACCACACCAAAATTTATAAGACATATACAATAGATAAAGTGACAGAATCCAAACACAACACTGCAGAAAGTCATCAACATACAGGAGAAGAGAGCAAGAGAATAAGAAAGGAACAGAGAAGAACTACAAAAACAACCAGAAAACAATTAATAAAATGGCAAAAGTACATACCTATCACAAATCACTTTAAATGTAAAAGGATTAAATGGTCCAATCAAAAGACACAGGGTGGCTGAATGAATAAAAAAAACAAGACCCCAGAGACCCACTTCAGATTAAAGGACACACAGAAACTGAAAATAAAGGGATGGAAATAAACATTTTATGTAAACGAAAATGAAAAAAGCTGGGGTAGCAATACTTGTATCAGACAAAATATACTTTAAAACAAGGACTGTTAAAAGAGACAAAAAAGCATTTCATAATGATAAAGGGAGCAATCTAACAAGAGGACATAACTCTTGTAAACATCTACACACCCAAAAGTAGGAGCACTTAAATATATAAAGCAAATATTGACAGACATTAAAGGAGACTGCCAATAACACACTTATGGTAGGGGAATTTATTAACATCCCATTGACATCACTGGATGGATTATCTGGACAGAAAAACAACAAAAAAGTCTTCTTTAATGACACATTCGACCATATGGATTTAATTTTTTTTCTTTATTACTTTTAGAGAGAGGGGAAGGTAGAGGGAAAGAGAGAGAGAAACATCGATGAGAGAGAACATCAATTGGCCACCTCCTGCATACCCTCACTGGAGATTGGGCCTACAACCTGGGCATGTGACCTGACCAGGAATCGAACTGGCTACCTCTTGGTGCATGGGTCGATGGTCAACCACTGAGTCACAATGGTCGGGCTTAATTGATTTTTTTTTTTTATACTCACCCAAGGACATTTTTTCATCTTTTGTTCAGGTAGAGCGGGAGGGAGAGAGAGGAACAGAGAGAGAGAAACATCAATGTGAAAGGAATACATCGAGTGGCTGCCACCCAAACGACCGACCAGGACCGGGGACAAACTGCAACCGAGGTACATGCCCTTAGCGGGAAACGAACCCGGGTCTCTCTGGACCGCAGGCCAACGCTCTAACTGCTGAGCCAAACCAGCCAGGGCTTAATTGATATTTTTAAACATTTCATCCCAAAGCAGCAGAATACACATTCTTTTCAAGTGCACATGGAACATTTTTCAGGATATACCACATAGGCCACAAAACAAGTGTCAATATTTAAGAAGATTTAAATTATATCAAACATTTTCTCTGATGACAATGATATGAAACTAAAAATCAAGTACAATGAGAAAACTGAGAAACACACAAACATGTGGAGGCTGAATAACATGCTACTAAACAAGGAATGGGTTGATAATGAGATCAAGGAAGAAATAAAAATACACCTTGAGACAAATGAAAATTAAAACATAATGGCCGCCCTGGCCAGTTTGGCTCAGCGGTTAGAGCGTCGGCCTGCGGTCCAGAGAGACCCGGGTTCGGTTCCCGCTAAGGGCGCGTACCTCGGTTGCAAGTTTGTCCCCGGCCCTAGTTGGTTGTGCGGGTGGCAGCCACTCGATGTGTCTCTTCACGTCGATGTTTCTCTCTCTCTCCCTTTCTCTCTCTCCCTCCCACTCTATCTGTACAAAAAATGGAAAAATATCCTCAGGTGAAGATAAAAAACAAACAAACAAAAAAAAACAACCATAATTACCTAAAATGTATAGGATACAGCTAAAATAGTTTTAAGAGGGAAATATACAGCAATACACATCTACCTCAAGAAACAAGAAAAGTCTCAAATAAACAATCTAATCTTATACCTAAAGAAATTAGAAAAAGAAGACCAAACATCGCCCAAAGTGAGTAGTGGAAGGAAATAATAAAGATCAGACTGGAAATAACAAAAGAGACTTAAAAAAAAAAAAAAAATCAAGACAATGAAGCACTGGTTCTTCCAAAAGATAAACAACATTAACAAACCTTTATCTAGATTAATCAAGAGAAAAATGAGAGCAGATCCAAATAAATAAAAATAAGAAATAAAATAGGAGAAGTGACAACTGACATCCTGGAATACAAAAGACTAAAGAAATAATAGGATCCAGCCAGTGTGGCTCTGTGGTTGAGTGTCGACCCATGCACCAAGAGGTCGCCAGTTCGATTCCTGGTCAGGACACATGCCCAGGTTGTGGGCCCGATCCCCAGAAAGGAGCATGCGGGAAGTAGTCAATTGATGTTTTCTCTCTCTCTCTCTCTCCCACTCACCTCCTCTCTCTGTAAAATCAATAAAGAAAAAAAAGTGTTAAAAAAAAAAAAGAAATAGTAGGAAACAATGATCTGCCAACAAATTTTACAACCTGCATGAAATGGATAAATTCCTAGAAATATACATTGTTCCAAGGCTGAATCAGGAAGAAATAGAGAATCTGAACAGACTGATAACTACTATCAAAATCAAATCAGTAAAATTCCCAACAAACAAAAGCCCTGACCAGAAGCTTCACAGGAGAATTTTTACCAAAGATTCAAAGAAAAAGTAATACCTATACTTCTCAAAATATTCCAAAATATTGCAGAAGAGGGAAGGCTCCTAAACTCACTGTATGAGGCCAGCATTACCTTAATACCAAAACCAAGACCTCACTGAGAAAAAAGAAAATGATAGACAATATCTCTGATTAACATAGATGCAAATATCCTCAACAAAATATTAGCAAACCAAATTCAGCAATACATTAAAAAGATCATACACCTAGATCAAGTGAGATTTACTTCTGGGATGCAAGGTTGGTTCAACATCCTCAAATTAATTAATGCTATATACCACATAAACAAAATAAAGTTTAAAAATCATATGATCATATCAATAGATGCAGAAAAGGCATTTGACAAAAACTTACATTTAAAAAACCTTCTCAACTATGTATTAAAAACACCTAATAAATACATTGTGAAAAGCTAATTTATTTATAGTTCTGACTTACCCTTGCTCAGAGTGCACTCTCAGGGGGCATTATTCCCATACTTTTCCCTTACCTTTGCTTTCCAAACTACATGCCAATTCTTAGCAATTCTAAGCCCTAACTCAGGCCTTCTGATTGATACATATTTATAGCAGGTAATATCTAAAGGGTAATACCCCTTTTCCTCTCTCATTTCAAGAAAAAAAAAATTTTTTTTAAAGATTTGCTATATCCTCAGACTAGTAACTCAATAGTTCTAGACCTACCTCTCATATCAGTTTGCATTTTAGGGAATAGGGACACACCTGCCCAAAAGATGTCTTTCAGAAATGTTCAAGGGCCCTGGCCGGTTTGGCTCAGCGGTTAGAGCGTCCGCCTGCGGTCCGGAGAGGCCGGGGTTCGGTTCCCGCTAAGGGCATGTACCTCGGTTGCAGTTTGTCCCCGGCCCTGGTTGGTCGTGCGGGTGGCAGCCACTCGATGTGTCCCTTCGCATCGATGTTTCCCTCTCTCTCTCTTCCTCTCTCTCCCTCCCACTCTGTCTGTGCAAAAAATGGAAAAATGTCCTCAGATGAGGATTAAAAAAAAAAAAAAAAAAAAAAGGAGAAATGTTCAAGGGAGTATAAACAGAAAGTCTTGTTCATGTGGCATTTCGTATATAATGGTCCCAAAATGTCATTTTTATACACTATAGCTATTATAGTGTTTTCAATTTAGAAAAATAATCAGATAATCGAACGGTGTATTTCCCCAAAATGACAATGATCCACAGAATTTAAACATTCACCCATTAACATGTGGCCCTTAATCTTTTGCATCTTTCTCTTAAATATACAATGTCAAATATGTCCTAATCTCTTACTGAGAAAGTTAATACTAAAAAAACTGTCATTTCCAAACAAATGAACTGCAATCAGCAATCTTAATAGAGCACATTAAATGCCCAATGAAAAATAATACAAAAAAGCACAATTAGAAGCTGTAGAAATTTTACCTTAATTCTTCTCTCAGTGTCATCTAATTTTAATTCTGCTGCAACTAGTTTCTTTGCCAAATCATCTCGTTCAGGTAGGTGTCTAGCTTCAGAGATCTTTTTCAGTTTCTGCAAGGAAAATTTTGTCCTATATAGTTCATCTTCTGTATCTTTCACCCTTTTCTCAGTTGCCCGTTCTCTCTCTTGAGATTTTCTTAAGCGTTCTTTGAGTGCTGTAATCTCATTGTTATGACGAGCAATAAGTTGTGAGATTTCATTTTCTGTATCTTCAAACTTAGTCAGGGCTTTCTCCTGTCTGTATTGAAGCCTTTTCAAAGCCTTATTTTCTTTTAGCAGCTCAGCTAACTTGACCTGGAGTTCAGTTACTTCATTCTGTAATTCATTGATTTTTAGCAGTCTTGCAGAAAGAACCCGTTTTGTAACAAGATCAATGTCTTTCCGAGGTGGCTCCCTATTGAGGCTCTGGGAGCGAAATCCTACTCGGACTCCCTTTCTGTTTGGTGGACCCTTAGGACTTGGTTTCCTAGGGGCTAAAAAAGAAACAGTAGTAAAGTGAAAGCTATACCAAATGTATTATTATTTTTCATTCTAACAAGTGGATCCATAACATTATTTATTTTGTCCCTTAAAATATAATTTTACAGACCCTCCAAGGTCACCTCAGGACAGCTGCAGCAGAGCCGGCTGCTCACCTTGAGATAGTCATTCTTGGAGCACAGCTCCTCCATCTCCCACACCAGCTCCTCTTCCTCCTCCGCAGATCCCTGAGGAGATAGATGCCTGGCCATCTCCTGTCACTGAGCTCTGAGCACACAAAAATGTTGCTACTTTGGCTGCTATCTCATGTGTTTTATGCCTATGTATAGGCCCAAGGAACTACATGCAGCAGCACTGGAGTAAGAAGTAATTTCCTACAACATATCCATGACTCCCTTGCCAAAGAGTAGTGTAGTAGAGTGAAAAGAGCTGAGGCTTTGACACCAGATAAAAGAAACCAAGGTACAAGACAAAGAAATAATTCACCAACATCACAACACTGAAGTGGTAGGGCCAGGCTTTGCACTGAGAAGTGCTATGTCAGTGCCCACCCACCACCCTACTCCAAACCACCTCCCAAAACATGCTGCTTCCCTCCCCGCTCTGGGTGTCAGGCACCCCTCAGAGCTGCTGTGGACCTTTCCTGGGGTGAAACGAAGCCCACTTCGAAAGATACACGGAGGAGAGAGCTGCTAGAGAGGCAACTGGAAGGGAAGAACTGGTCACCAGGCAGATGTCTTGCTTCTTCACTGGAAATTTAATGCTAGATAGGTGCTCTCTGGGTTCAAAAACCAGGAACACTTTTGGAATTTCCCTTCATAAATGAGATAATAAATATACAGCCTTCCTCTCAACATCAAGAATCGGAGGCTTTGGGAGTATATGGAGTCACTATAGAAAGGGTAAGTTCTGCTCAAACTAATTCTATATGAGTTTACATTTGGAAAGGTAGAGAAGCAGTTTTCAATTAAAAAACTGATTAGGGCCATTGAGTGTGGAGCAGCACAAACCCATGTGGTGATCCAAGGAAGAGCTGGCCTTGAGCTCTGGAAATAGAGTCGTCCCTCACCACTTCTCACTTCGACTTGCACGGCTTCACTCTATCGCGGTTTTTTCAAATATATTCATTAAAAAGCTGATCGAGACAGTGAAAATTATACAGCACGGACTCAGTTGTCTGAATCAATTATACACCCCTGTGTTACAATTACAGTTAAAATTACTATACGTATGAACTGTAGGCCCATGTATTCAAGCACCCTAGGAATCCTTCAACACCATGTGCAACCTCTAGAGTCTGGAATGAATTAACTGCGATAAACGAGGGACAACTGTACTGATTATCTCTAGATCCCTTCAGAAGTTTAAATGTCCTGGGAGAATGTTATTTGAGAGGATCAAAAAAGGAAGCAATCAGATTATTTGAAATATGGGAAAACAGAACCTACTTGTAAATTTCCAGTGTTTGTTCAGTGACACCAGTGTGTTTGGACCAGTTTCCCTTTTTGCTACACAATGACTAAACAGTGGACAAGGGCCAGCCCACCAATATATACATACATATATAATTATGTATATATGTATATGTATGTGTTTGTGTCTGTATATAATTTTACAATATTTAAGTATCAGATTTTTATTTAGAGCTTTTTATTTTATCCTCACCCGAGGACATTTTTGTGTTTATCTTCAGATAGAGCGGGAGGGAGAAAAGGAGGAAGAGAGAGAAACATCAATGTGAGAGAGACACATCAAGTGGCTGCCACACACACAACCCCAACCGGGGCCGAGGACAAACTGCAACCAACATATGTGCCCTCAGCAGGAACCAAACCCAGGTCTCTCCAGTCTGCGAGCCAATGCTTTAATCGCTGAGCTAAACCGGCCAGGGCTAGAGCTCTTAATATAATGTTTTTATTAAGAAAGGTTTACCTAAAGAAAGGTAAAAATATTCTGATCCATCCAAATGATATAACAACAGTTTATAAGGCATTGATTTATATTGCTTTAAGAGATGGCAGTATCAAGATTTCTCATTTGTAACTTCATAGTAAGATGGTAAATCAGAAATCTGAACATGGGCATTAGCATTAGCATGGTGCCTAATAAACACTGGAAATAACATTGTGATATTCAAGCCACTTGTGCCAAGATAGTTGAAATATGGAAATGTACATTTTCTCTTAATTAATTAGAACTATTTTTCTTTATTTGGTGAAACAGGATGACGACCTGTTGTATAGTGAGAAGATTTGGGTTTGGGACTAAGATGTATCACTTAATAACTCCTTGGTCAATTGACCTAAACTTTTCCAGGTCTATTTTCCCTGCCCATAGAATGAGGATAATACCACTGACATAATTATGCTGTTTTGAAGATTAAATGAATATGCTTGTAAAAGAAAGTCCTTCACAAATAATCTCTACAGGTAATAAGAACATAATCCCATTTATTAGTGATTGAAAATGAAAAACACTTCAGTAGTACTGATGTGATTGATTCTAATGCTTCCTCAGGGGCTTTCTTTTGTGTGATGTTCATATCAAAAACATGTGACAATTTGAGAACAAGATAAAAACTAAACACTACATCTTAAAACTATAAGCATATGAAATCTTTAAAGTGTACATATTAGATACCATTTCACAAAAACCTGGAATGTTATTATTTTTATTAAAAGTTCATTAAACACACACCTCCATATACAGAACACTTGCCCTTTAAAAGAGGCTTCTGGATATCTGCCACAGTTAAGAATAATGAACTTTAATCTCCAACGTGACTGTATTTTTTTGAAGAAGGAAATGCATTCCAGAGTAGAAAAAAGAAAATAGAAAATCCAACCTTTCCCTATCCATCGCATCAGCCCTGATTCCACTATGTAAACAAGCAAAGATTAACAAGTAGCATTTACAATTTAACATAAGTTTCATTAAAAAGACAGAAAATTGTAAAGAAGGTGTTTTGAATGTATACTGATTTGGGATTCCAGCTCTAATAATGCTTGAATACATCAAAGGAAGTGATAAAAAGAAATGAGGGAAAACCTACTTGTAATTTCGAAACTTACTATCCAGTATTTTGTCACTAGCCACATGCAGCTACTGAGATATTTGAAGTATGGATGGTACAAACTGAGATATGCCATAGTTGGGACATGTACCCTGGAATTCAAAGACTTCTGCCTTCAAAAAGAATGAAGAATATTTCACACACAATGTTTTATATTAACTATATTTAAAATGGTATTTTGGATATGTTGGATTAAATAAAATATATTATTAAAATTAAGTTTGTCTGTTTTTTTTTAATGTGGGTTATTAGACAATGTAAAATTATATGTATGGCTTGCATTACATTTCCAGTGGACAGCAATGCTCCAACTTTATTTATTTATTTTTATTTTGAAATAAGACAATTTATTACCTCCTCTTCAGCAATAATATAATATTGGGAAAAATGTCCTCTGATACATATTTGTCACACATTCATCAGTTGCAGAACTTGGAGTTGCAAAAAGAGACTATTTCCAGGCCTAAACAAATGTCATGGCTTTAATATCCACTCTAAATTGACTCTATCAAAATGTTTTATAGATGTAATTGTGTTTGAATAATGCTCCAACTTTAAATTGGAGTTCATCATTTCAATTTTCTTTTTTATCCAACATACCGAGTTAACAGAGTTTTGGTATTTATATGCCATTATGGAATATGTATTCAGCTCTTGAAAGGACAGAAATTTTATACATAAAAGTGATTATACATGAAGATGAATGTTAATCACTCCAAATTTCTGATTTTTATGTACAAAGTTAGACTGCTCAGCAAACAAGATTCCCTATAAATAGAAACTTGTTTTATTTCAAAGTTGAAGCCTATTTAAGAATAAGGATAAAAATTTTCTACTAAAATTTTATCTCAAGTGTTTAGTCAGACAGAAAGGGTTTCCACAACCAGCTTTTTGACATCCTAATAATCTGAACATTTACTTTTAGCATATTCTATTTGTATGATTACAAACTGATTAATAAAAGTATGCTTAGCCTGAACTCAAAAATATTTACCAGCTTTCATCTATTTTTTTATTTTCATTTTTAAAACTGTCAAGATGAAATGTAGTGTTAATAAGAGTAAGAATATGACTGACTACCATGGATATCATTCTTCATCTGCTCCTTAAGTCACCACCAAAGAGAGAGTGAGAAAATAATGCTTTCTTTTCTTCCTTCAGGAGTTAAAAATAAAATATGACATTTAAAAAACATGTAGTAAAGATAAACTATGTATCTACCAAAAACTCAGTGTTTATTTTACTGATAAAACAAGAAACAAATAAATGTGTAATATAGAAACATGCATAACCTAAACCATTGTTAAATTTTTATCATTATATATATAACTTCTAATAGAGCACAATTTTTAAAATAATGATATGCTGAAATAAAAAGGAGAAAGAATTGCTATCAAACATTGCAAATCCACGAATTCAAGTGTTCAAGATGCTATTTAATCATATTTGTTCTTTCCTTAGTTTAGTTTATACTGGTGATGGTAACTTAAACCAAGGGACATTAACTTAGTGTTTAAGAAAAGATATAACTTTAGTCCTGTTGCTTGATCTAAGCTCCAAAATTACCATAGATTTTATTTCAGAAGACAATACAAAGCAGAAGACTATACAAGTCAGAGTGAAGACAATAACTGAAATTTTTACAGAAGATGTTAGAACTGTTTTTCACAGCTAGAACTGCTTTTCACAGCTTCTTCTCAATTATCTTCTCAAATGTGGCCCTGGCATGTTTCGCTCAGCAGTTACAGTGTTGGCCTGCGGTCCAGAGAGGCCTGGGTTTGGTTCCCGCTAAGGGCACATACCTCGGTTGCAGTTTGTCCCCGGCCCCAGTTGGGGTTATGTGGGTGGCGGCCCCTCGATGTGATTAATGTTTCTCCCCCCCCCCCCCGTTGGGGAAGGAGGGGGAGGGGGCAATCAGTGGGGGGAAAAGGAGAAACATATGTAACAAAAATAAATTAAATAATTTTAAAAAAAAGAAGGGGGACTCATGCAAAATTTTTTTTAAAATGAGATAAGGCTTAAGAAGTTCTGACTTCTTAATCGGGTAACCTCCAAAACTGCTCTTGGGAAAGAGTGAAAAACCAAAGTATTCCTACTAATAACTCCCTAGGTATGTAAATTATTTCTTGGGAATAAAGACACACTTTCCAAGGTTCAACCCTAAGGTCTGTTTGTTCTTAATTATGTAGAGCAAAAGTTATTTAATATCAGATTATGCTCTCAACCACAAAATCAAAACAAGAGGCTCACACTAAGACAGTTGGAGGAAGAGACCAAAATCCTACAGCATTGTACTGAAAAAGGAAAAAAAAGGGAAGAAGGGAAGGAAGGACGGGAGGGAAGAAGGGAAAGAAAGGAGGGAGGGAGGAAGGGTGAGCATCCGATTGTTAAAAAGTATGAACATCCCTGGGAAGCTAGATCAGGGGTCCTTTCGTTGTTTTCAAAAGGAACATATATTCTTGTAGATTTTTGAAAAGCAAATATTATTTTTCAAAGTAAACACTTATATAGGCAATTTTAATTGTACCCCTGCTTAAATCTTTTCAATGGCTAACTATCCCCCCACAGAAACAATCAATATATTAGCATAGGATTCAAGATGTTTCAGGACCTGGCCCCTGTTTTCCTTTTCAGATTAGTTTCTCCACTCCTCGCCTTGCCATCTCAACCCTCAGCATTCTAAGCTACTGTTGTTACAGCTGTGCTGCATCTATCGACACATACTATATACAACCACCTCATTTAACTTAGCTCATTTTCTATGGTGTACTTGTAGTCCTTCCATATTTTGTTACTAAGTACATATTGGGGTTTTCTTGACCAGAGATTTATTTAGAAGAAGAAAAATTTCTAGAATATTACCTAGTCAAATGTTTATTAGTACCAGTTCCAGACTAGTAACACTTTAATAAGAAAAATTATTTCTAATTATTCTTGTTTCCATTATAACATAGTTTAATAGAAAACAAACTGGTGATCTCAAGACCCAAATTATATTTCTAGGTTTAATTTGAACTTTCGCAGTAAGCACGGCATTACCTAGGGAAAGGAATTTGTTCAGTCTAAACAAAGGGCCCCTTAACCACTTTATATCAATGCCTTTCACTACTTTTTAAAAATGAAGACAAAGAAAGGTACAAATATGTTGATCTTTTTGCCTTTATAGTACCCCCAAAACTCCAAGATAAGCATTTATTTAGGATGAAAAAAAACAAGGAGCCCTGGCCGGTTTGGCTCAGCGGTTGGAGCGTCCGCCTGCGGTCCGGAGAGACCGGGTTCGGTTCCCGCTAAGGGCATGTGCCTCGGTTGCAGTTTGTCCCCGGCCCTGGTTGGTCGTGCGGGTGGCAGCCACTCGATGTGTCCCTTTCACATCGGTGTTTCCCTCTCTCTCTCTTCCTCTCTCTCCCTCCCACTCTGTCTGTACAAAAAATGGGAAAATGTCCTCGGGTGAGGGGAAAAAAAAAAAAAGAAAAAAAACAAGGAGCCTTATTTATGGTTTTTTCCTGTATACAGTATGACTGAATATAACAAAGGCTAATAATATAGAGTGCCATAAGCAACATTTATAGAAATTTATAAAAATATACTCTATTCAAAATGAAAATCAGCCCATTTCCATGCATACATTAATATACATACTAATAGAAGAGTTTCATTCATACAAACTTTCCTTAAGCCCTCAAAATGAGTCTTCTAGGTCTACTGGAAGGTCTGCTTACCTTGGTGATGCACTTGGCTATCTGAAATTTGTCTTTTAGGATTTTTTTTCTTAATACTCATAGGTGAGGAGGGATTAACCAGCGATGACCGGCCAGAAGACTGTGGTGTAATTCCAAAATCAGATGAACTATGACAGTAATGGTGTTTGTCTGCCTTACTTTCTTCGTCAGTATCGGGACTTCTTTCTCTTTCCCCCATGGTTCTGAAAAAAGTCTCTATTCACATAATTTCAGAGATTCTTTTTTCCAGAAAAATCCATGACAAGCCTGAAGAGCATTTTTTGGTCTTTAGATCCTGGTGAAAATATTCATGTCTGTGTTACTTGTTTTCTCTATGTGTCTGTAGTCCATAATTCACATTAGCAATCAGAAGAAACACTTTTTCCCCTACAATTAAGGAAGGGGGAGGGAAACTCATCATATGTCACAATATAGATTTCTACAGTTAATTACAATGAAAGATACTAAAAGCAAAATAATATACTACCTACAATTTTAAAGAGGCTATAATTTAATTCATCTATATTTTCACACAGTTATGTACAGTATTTGGAGAAAAAAATGTCTTAGCCAAGCCACAGAACATGTAAAGTGCCTGACATATAAAGCTTCTGAATAAATGTTAACTGTATTTGACCCCCTTGAATATTAAGATTTATAATAAATACAAATGCTGATTTTTAACAGGTGAATATCAAATAACCATTTTGTTCCTTTTTTGGAGGAGGTGGAATGGTAAAGCACAAGACTTAATAAGAACAAGGAAAACTATCTAAGATTGACTATATAAAAATGTAAAACTAAAGGATGCAAATGTTAATTGGATTAAAACTTGATGAAAAATGTTTGCAGCATGAAAGAAAAATGGTTACCATCCTTAACACATAAATGAATACCTCATACCACCTCATTAAAAAAATAGAGGAGGCCCTGGCCGGTTTGGCTCAGCGGTTAGAGTGTCGGCCTGCGGTCCCGAGAGACCCGGGTTCGGTTCCCGCTAAGGGCATGTACCTCGGTTGCAGTTTGTCCCCGGCCCTGGTTGGTCGTGCGGGTGGCAGCCACTTGATGTGTCCCTTCACGTCGATGTTTCTCTCTCTCTCTGTTCCTCTCTCCCCCTCCTACTCTACCTGAACAAAAAAAAAAAAAAAAATAGAGGAGGCCTAAAGTTAAATGGGCAAATATATGTTAAGACCCACAGCAGGCAATACAAATGATAGGCACATCAGAATAGTCAACCTCAAACACGATTTTTAAACCTATCAAATTATCAAAGATTTTTCAAAACAACACTCCATGGTGCCAAAATGGCTATCAAGAAAAGACCCACACATATTTGGAAAAAATGCTGGCATGAATTAAAACTTTAATTATGCTTTTAACTCTTGATCCAATAATTATATTCCTGGATATCTAGAAAATAACACTAAAATTAGGGGGGAAATTACATGCAAGTGTTTAATTAAGTACATTTATAAAAAGGGCAGGGAGGAGGGAGACCCTGGCTGGATTTTTCAGTCAGTTGGAGCGTCATCATGCACCAAAAGGTTGCGAAATCGATTCTCAGTTGGGGAATGAACAGGACAGGAGGCAACCCATTGATGTTTCTCTCTCATACTGATGTTTTTCTCTCTCAAATCAATAAAAACATATATCCTTGGGTGTGAATAAAAATTAAAAAGTAGCAGTAGCAGCAGCAGCAGCAGCAGCAGCAGCAGCAACCTAATTAAGAACAATATTGTAAAAATCAATACAACATATCTTGCAGCTGTTAGAAATGGTTACAAAAAATTTATGTTAACAAGGAAAATGTTTATACTATTATGGTAAAGAAAAATTCAAATGGATATATACAATAGAATCTCAACTACACATATTAATTGGAAAAATACTGAGCATACTGAGCATTTGATCTAAACTCAGGAACTGAAAAAAATCTGCAAAGTAAAGGGCATATACACCAAAATATTGTCTGTCTGGACAACCTAAATTTTAGATGATTTTATCTCTCTCTTAAAATATTTTTATTTTTTAATAAAATGAAATTGAATGATTTTTATAATTAGAATTTTTTTTAATAATTAGAAGAAACAAAAATCCCACTAATGAAATTGGTGTTAAAAGTATAGTGGTTCTGCCCAGCCAGTGTGGCTTAGTTGGTTGAGCATCATTCCATGCACCAAGAGGTCACTGTTTTGATTTCTGGTTAGGGCACATGCCTGGGGTTTTGGGCTCAATCCCTAGCAAGAGGGGTACATGAGGCAGCCAATCCATGTTTCTCTTTCATTGATGTTTCTCTTTCTCTCTCCCTTTCTCTCTCTCTAAAATCAATAAAAATGTATTTAAAAAAAAATAGTGGTTCTAGTAATACATGAAAAAAGACATACACTAGATAGCACTACTACTATCACTGCAACACTACCATAATGGTTAGGGACTAAACCAATCAAAATGACCACCAATAATGAACTGGCTACATACAACTAAACATCCTAAAGTACAGTATTATGAAGCTATTAAAGGAATTAGGACTATCTCTGTATATTCTGTGCAGTCCGGAGTGATCTTCAGGATATATTAAGAAAAATAAGATGGAGAAAAGCCCTGGCCGGTTTGGCTCAGTGGTTGGAGCATCGGCCCCTGGACCTGAGAGACCTGGGTTTGGTTCCCGCTAACGGCATATATCTCGGTTGCAGTTTGTCCCCAGACCCGGTTGGGGTTGTGTGAGTGGCAACCACTCAATGTGTCTCTCTCGCATGGATTTTTTGTTTTGTTGTATTTTTTGTGTTTTTTTTTATCCTCACCCGAGGATATTTTTTCCATTTTTTGTACAGATAGAGTGGGAGGGAGAGAGAGGAAGGGAGAGAGAGTGAGAAACATCGATGTGAAGGGACCCATTGAGTGGCTGCCACCCGCACGACCAACCAGGGCTGGGGACAAACTGCAACCGAGGTACGTGCCCTTAGCGGGAACCCAACCCGGGTCTCTCCGGACCGCAGGCCGACACTCTAACCACTGAGCCAAACTGGCCAGGGCTCACATGGATGTTTTTTTTCTCTCTCTCTCTTCTTCCCTCTCTTCCTCTCGCTCTATCTGAAGATAAATGCAAAAATGTCCTCCAGTGAGGATAAAAAAAAAAAAAAGATGGAGAAAAGCATGTATATTATCATTTATGAAAGAAAGAGGGTTATAAATATGTACACCTAATTTTTTATATTTTTAACAATAGAAGAATAAACTAAACACCTAATTTTAAAGAGGGAGGGGGCTCTAGGGCAGAGCTGTGCAACAGAACATTTAGCAAGAATGGAAATGTTCTATAATCTCTGCTGTCCATGCCACCTGCACGACCCAACCAGGGCCAAGGACAGAGTGCAACCAAAGTACATGCCCTTAGCGGCAACCGAACCTGGGTCTCTGGACCACAGGCTGATGCTCTAACCGCGGAGCCAAACCGGCCAGGGCTACTTCTGCTCTATTAATTGAAACATGACAACAAATTAACATTCAGCCAGGAAACCTTCATGTAAATGAACCAGAAGTAATATCTAAAACAAAGCAAATCACATCTCAGTAGGAGCAAAACTCCTTTCTGAAAAGAATCCAGAAGATATTTCTAACTATCTGAACAGACTGAATAGTTTCCTGTTTCCAACTGGAAGAAACCACCAAAATAGCTGAATATGTTGAATTTGAAATAAATGTCCAATGACAGTGGGAAAAAAAAAAAAAATCTCTGCTGTCCAATATAAACAGCTGGCCTCATGTAACTATTCAGCATATAACATGTGGCAAGTGAGACTGAGGAACTAATTTTTAATTTAGTTGAATTTTAATTAACTTAAAATTTAAAAGTCACATTTACTGTTGGTGAGTTGATTAAACAAATAGCGTTAGGGAAAGAGAGGAAGCAGAGTTTAGGGGCAGGGACAGGAGCTAGACTTCTTTGTCTATAACTTTTGTAAACTTAAACATGGAAACTATAATTTTTAGAAATTAGATTTTTTAAAAACAATTCCTATAAAGGAAAATGAAATAAATCAATCCAACTAGATCTACAGTTTGTGACAGAACCACACAGATTAACAGTTCAAATGACTTTAAAACACAATTATTTGACTTTATATCCCTAGCTAAATATATCCCACCAACAACAAAAAAAAAGCAGTTTTGTTTCAAACAAACAAATATAAACTAATATGGGTTTTTAAAACTCTGTAGTCCAAAATTTGAATTGGAGTATAAGTATTAATAAATATTAAGAAAAACTATTCCCCAGCTCTGTCCATTTAAAACAAGAAACAAACATCCCTAGCACCCCGGTGTAGTGTCTAAATACTATTTCCCACTAAAAGAAACTAATGCTCCAGTAAAATATCTCATTCAACATCTGAGGGAGGAAACATATAAGATGAATCTGCAAATCTAGAAATGCGGTTATACTAGAAAGCAAGGTAGCTATCAGCAAGGTAGATGGAGTGTCAAAAGGGCTCAGGAGCCAACTTTAAGGAGCTCATACTAGCAAAAGATGGAACAATTTCATCATCAATAGGAATTTTATCTATAAAGGCTTAAAACACATCAGATATGTTTAAACCCATGAAGTCATATACAACTTTAAAAACTTATTAGTCACTTTTGGAAGATGCTAATAAACCAACTTATTCACCTGACAATTGATATAATAAAGAGAAAAAAAAAAATCAAACATGTATTTGGCTATATCGTTACAAGCTGTATCTCAAAATAAAATAGTAACAGCTTAATGGGAAGTATTTCTTTATAGAATTATTCTAGTTAATAAATGAAAAAGAAAATATCAGCATGACAAAATTAAAATATTGCCACTTTGTAGCCACTAATGAAATAATGAAGCTACACGGTGATCACTAATAGCTGCTAACAACACAAAATAGAAATAAACAGACACTGTGTGACTCCAGGTAGGACACAATGATACCTCTAATCTGTTCTTCCCTACAAGAAAAATTAAATCTGATTCTGATAAAATCCCTAAATGTAAATCACAATTTACATTTGTAAAAATACAAGAAAGCAAAATCCAGATTGTGGCAAATTCTATTAAGAAAAACTGATTTTTTGTTTTTTTTTAAATGCAAGCAGAAAAAGAAGAGCTGGGGAGGATTATCTATATATTAAGAAAGGGTTATCTATATATCTATATATTACGAAAGGGAAACAAGCAATTATAATCTATGAACCTTATTTCAATCCTGATGCAAACAAATTATAGAAAAGAAAACTAAGATAATAGAGAACACTTTAACAATGAATGGACATTTAATGATATTAAGGAATTACTATTCCTTAGGTGAGATAATAATATTGTGCTTAATTTTTATAGAATCCTTATCTTTTAGAGATTTATA